TTTGTACTGTAAAATAAAAAAAAAACGATAATATATTATATTTATCATTTTACAAAAAAATACATTAAGCTTTTTATTTTATAGAATAATTATTTTTAAATTAAAACAAGAACTTTTGACTTGATAGGGGTAATTTAGTCTTTTCCAATTTTCTATTCAAGGGGGTTATGTGCTAATTTCATACCATAAGGGGGTTATGTGCCTAATTTCATACCATACGGGGGTCATGTGCAAAATGTCGAAACCACAAGGGGGTTATGTGCATAATTTCAAACCACAAGGGGGTCATGTGCAAAATGCCCAAACCACAAGGGGGTTAAGTGCTATTTACCCTAATTAATATTTGAAATCTAGCATCATATCCGAACAGGTGGCAGTTTAAACACGAATTGGTGTTTAATCCTTGCGAAAAGGCACAATGCTTTTCAGCCCTTTTCATTTTCTAGAGTTGTGTCTTTTCAACACAACTTTCTGAAAACATAAATAGAGCCCTAATTTTCCAGCAGTCTCACTCAATCATCCAAGCATTCATAAGCATATTTGTTGCATTATCTCTTTCTTTCGTGTCAATAAAAGTCCAAAACGTCTTTTCGTTGTGTTTCAGCAGTTGTTGTGTTGCTTTGTTGGAGCTGTAAGTCGTTGTATCTTGGGAGACAATTGACAAAACCGAAGCACTGTTGTGGGGCAATTTTGTCTTAAGGAGAGAGAACAAAGTTCTTGCCTCGACTTTTCCCTGTTTCATAAATCTTTATTCAAAAATTCCTATCTCGAAAACATCATAAATAAAAAATTTATGATTATTTGTTTTAAATTTGGTGTAATTAATCTGATTTTCAGTTGAATCTGATTATATTTGACTGATTCAGCTTAGTTTAGAACAAGATTAGTGAAATCCAATTGTATTTTTATTCGAGTTTTCAATTTCAGAAGTCAAAAATAATGGAAAAATCAAATATTGTAATTTGTGACTTGATCGATGATTTTTCATTTGCTCTGACTCTGAAATGACCGTCAAATCTAAAGTTTAAATCGTTAGAGACGTAATTTATTTAAAATTTATGTTTCCAACATACCCTAGACTCGAATTTGCTCTAACTCTAACCCAAATTCGCCTCGTCGTAAACAAGATAAACATGCCCGAAAAACGGAAAAGTTGAATAACAGTATATATTTTCCGTAATCACTTAAATATTGTATTGGAAACATTCAATCCTATCCAACTTGGACAAATAATTTTGCATTTATATATATAGATAATTGCTTCACATGTCATGTTTCTCAAACATAGTAATTTATGAATTAAACAAATATTAATTTATTACAAAATTTTTATAATAATAGAATATTTTTCTAAATATAGATGGGAATACATTTTTTCAATTCTTTAAATTAGTCAAAAGCACTAAATAATTTCCAAACTTTTTGGGCCTTGTTCACATCATACATCAAATATTACCATAGTGGGCTGTTGGTCATCGACAAACATAGCCCATTACTTTAAATACCAATTTTCTTTAAGCTATTAATTATTTATTATTGGTAGCTTTTCTGTTTAGGTCTTTTGAAATATAACAATATTAGTTTACTTAAAATATATAGTGTTATTAATTAATAATGCATAATACATACATAAAATAAAATTAATTTAATAATACATTATACATATAAATTGCAATTTGTGTACACATAAAATTTGGATTACGATTGTAGAATTTAGTTTCATAGAATATGTTAGAAAAAAAAAAAATTAAATTTACGCATGGTCTTGTAAAATTCGAATTAATATAGTAATTGATTTTAAGTATGATTAATTCATATATATAATTCTAATTTATTATTGAAACTAATTATTATTGAAATACACGCGTTTCAAATGAGCGTAGCGCTAAATGCTTATGGGGCTTTTTGTCTTTGTCTTTTTCTTTTTGCCTTTTTGGTAAGACTCGTGTTTTGTGTCGGTGGATAAACGTGATGGTTAATTAGTGGTCTTTTTTCTTCCTTTTTTTTTTTTTTTTTTCTTTTTTAATATCTAGTTTATATTATACACGTAAAACATATGTTATTATGAACTTAGCATAAATTATGAACAATAATATTAATTACATAAAAATATATTTATTAGGAAAAAAAATACCAGGAATGAGGAGAGAATTTACAATGTTAGTGTTGGCGCCATATTTTCGGTTATTGAAGATCGAGGAAATCCGCCAAGTTTTGGAATTAAAAGATTGGCAAAGATTTGTTTTCCATATTTATTTTGGAATTTATTAGAGTCCTATTCTTATATACTTCTATTAGGACTTAGATTTATTTCCATGTATTTTATTCTAGTTAGGTATCTTTTGTACTTATCTAGAATAGAAGTAGAAATCAACTAGGATTCTATTACCTAGTTAAATTGATTTCTTAGGGCCCAAGTTAGGTCTTAGGGCTTATTTTCGTGGCTATATAAGCCTCTCAAGACATACAAGAACCGCGGGCATTATTTGGGAGAAAAACCTCTTCATAGCATCGAAGTTTTGCCAAGGCGTTCTGCGGAGCAGGACTGTGCCATCGTTGCACTGTGCCAACATATACAGATTTGCTGTATAGATCTCAAGGGAGATCAGCCGCGTTTTCTGAAGGGAGTTCAGGCTTGAAGAAAGTTCAAGGCACGCGGGTGGAGCTGCTGTTGGAAGAAACACGAAGTTCGAGTTGTGTACAAGAACGGCATATTACATAAAGAGGGAGTCTTTAGTGTTTTTAATAAGTCCTATTAATGTACACTGTAAATCTGAACTAGTGAAATCGTGTTTGCAGGTCCACGTGGATGTAGGGCACATTTGTGTCTGAACCACATTAATTCCTTGTGTTCATTTATTTGCTTTAAGTAGTTTATAACTGTGTTAACACAAGAATTATAGTTGTAACTGAATACTGTTTCCACAACTTAACTGTTACAACTTAGGTTAATTGATTTCTATAGGCATATAAATCAACAGTTAGAAAAAAAAATTATAAATAGCAAATACACTTAATTGTAGGTAAAAATTGACTCTAATTTCACAAAGTGATGGGAACTATAATTTAAGGAAAAATCCTAAATATAACAAATATTCGAAAAAACAAATATTTATTGTCTAATGTTGCATTTTAACCCCTACAAATCCTAAATCTGATGAATGTATCTGTAACCAACCATATAGGTGACTGAATAAATCTGCGCTATCGTATAACAACTCGCAAATTATATGAGAGACATATATCATACTTCGCTAGCCATGTGTACATCTGACGACCGTTGCACGCAGGGGCGGATCCAAGGCTTGTGTTGGGGGGCCCCGCCCCTGCAGAATTTTTTTTTTACATTTTATTTTTTTAATATTTTGGATTATTTATGTATTTATTTATACACTTTAGTTCCCCAAAATTAAAATTTTATACCATTTTACCCCAAAACTTTTTTTCCGCCCCCCCACCCAAAACCCCCTGGATCCGCCCCTGGTTGCACGTAACAACTCAAAGTTAATTCAAATTCATCCTAAAATATTTTGAGTTAACGAAAAGTAACTTATTCGAATAAATTAAATATCTTATTAATGTGTGCCATATTGTGATTAGTTGTCAATAGCTGGAGATTGATCACTAATCCTCAAATAATTGGTAGTACTGCACGTGCTGAGATATATTTCTTTTTTTACATATACTTATTATTGTTATTTTTCAAATTATAAGCATTTTTTTTAATGTTTTGTTGATTAGTTAATGATATTTTCAATAAAAGCTTGTGTTGTCTTGCACCTAAATGCATTACAAAAAACTTGCGAGAGGTATTATACACGATTTTTTTTAAATATAAAATAAAAGAAATTTAAGAAAATTGGGGGACTATGCCCCTCTGGCCTATGCTGGCTCCGCCACCGGTCTTTTATGTCGGGAGACGAGGAAGATGAGTCACTTATTTTATTAATATGTTAAATTTTGAGATCTAGGAAAGTGATTGAATTAATATTTAATTTATAGAAATTAATAAATAAAATGAGATTTGGTTTTTGCAAATTGCATGAGATATTATGACCCACGTGAGAGTGGAAATGAACAGCTCATTGGTCTTTTAAGCTAAAATTCCCCACTCACATGTGCCGCGGTTGGATTGCATCAAAATCACACCGTCTCATCAATAATTATAATAATTATTATTATTTTTATTATATTACTAATAATATTTTTGGATTAATATTTTTACGAATATTTTGTAAGTACTCCCAACTTTTGAAGATAAATAATTCTTTTAAAATTTATTCAATCACAAATTTATACTTTTGTAAGTCGTCGGCACTCGACAATGCTTATTGATTTATGTATATATTTTTCAACCGACATCCAATATCAATGATTTAAGTTGAATAGAAAGCTAACTCAAAGGCTTAAGAATTTCGTGTTTTAAAATTTGCCAAATTCAGTAGAAAAAATGGTCAACATCACGTTTGAAGTCAAAACAATATTATTAAAACTGAAACGACATTTATCACATATCAGAAAAAAAAATTACAATTATCAATTATAAATTCCGCTTACTATGATTCAAAATAAAAAAATCCGGTTTTGGTACCGCCAATTTATCGTAATTCAGATTCCCATTTTTTATTTTATTTTTACGAAATTTAAATTAATTTTTTTCGATATTTTATCTAATATTATTCTATCTAAGGAGTGTTGAGATCTTATCTTATTTTTCTGTATAAATATTCATGTAATGTGATTTGATTATTTCAATACAACAAATTAACAAATTATTGATTTATCGAAAAAAATTATTTTATTAATGTATTACTTTTTTTGTTTAAAATTTCCAGTTATATAGGGCCGCACCGGAAATGTAGCGAGTACTAAATAAATCATACACGCGAGCGAGTAGTGATAGTACGCCTTCAGAAATGAAAGCAGTGGGGCCACAGAGCCTGGGAGCCTCTCCTCCCTCCTTTTTTCCAGCTTTAAATACATCCAATTTTTTCCCCATTTCCACATTCCCAAAATTCACGCGCAAATACTGAAACAAATCACAACTATTTTTTACCATCTCTAGCTAGAGAGAGAGAGAGAGAAGAAGAAACAACAATTATCTGAGGAGAAGAATTTTTTTGTTTTTGTTGGCTTCAGAAATGGCGACTGGAAGAGTAGATCTGGACGGAAATCCGATAAAGCCGATGACGATATGCATGATCGGCGCCGGAGGTTTCATCGGCTCGCATCTCTGCGAGAAGCTGTTGACGGAGACGCCGCACAAGGTTCTCGCCGTTGATGTTTACAATGACAAAATCAAGCACCTCCTCGAGCCTTCCACGGCGGAGTGGGCCGATCGCATCCAGTTCCACCGCCTTAACATCAAAAACGATTCTCGCCTCGAAGGCCTCATCCGCATGGCAGATCTCGTAATTATCTCTCCTCTCCTTTTTTCTGGTTTTCTGCATTTTGATTCATTTTTTTTTCGGTAATTGGCTTCGGATCTGGATTTTGTGTTTCCTTGAGTAAATTTGTTTTTCAGCATTGGCCTGCTAACTTCCATATGTATGAATTTTGAAGTAATTTCTGATTTTTCATATTTCACGTTCATTTTTTCTGTATTTATTTCGTAATTGGGAGTTTATTTAGATCTTGATCTATCTGGATCTAACTTCGGATTAAGTTGCCTTCTGCAATATCTGTTATATTTCTATATTCATTTTTATGTGGTGGCTTAATTAATGGTAGGCGATTCTGAATTGATCTACTGAACTATTGTTTATTGAATTATTTGACTATGTCTTGTGTGATAGTGTTGTTATACTATATTAAATCTATTAGACGTTGGACTCTGAAGTGGACTGAATCGGGAATTTTATTTTTCTTTGACTCAGACCATAAATCTTGCGGCTATATGTACCCCAGCAGATTATAACACACGCCCTCTTGACACAATTTACAGCAACTTCATTGATGCTCTCCCTGTGGTACGTCATTGTTGCACTTTTTTTTAATCTCTTACAGTCCGTTAAATTGTGCGATAATGTTGATGAGTTCTGAAGTTGATTTCACATGTGTGGATTTAGGTTAAATACTGCTCGGAAAATAACAAGCGCCTTATACATTTCTCCACTTGTGAAGTATACGGGAAAACTATTGGTTGCTTTTTACCCAAAGATAGTCCGTTACGGCAGGTGAGTCTTTATTTCAACAGCTCTTCAGGGTCTATATTCGTCTTGATATGATATGATTTTTGCATTAGAAGCATTTTTCACTTTCACTTGTCTAATGTTGAATATTTATTTGAGTGATGTGATGGGGTGTAGGGAAAAAGGATTGTGTGCAGTGATCTTTTAATTTCTCTGATTCAATAATATCTCTTCGTGAATTTTCCGTCATTCATGCTCCTAAGTAATTAACTTTACATGATTGAGTAGATCTACCTCATCTGAAATTTTACCTTTCCCAGAATCAAATATTTACTCTAGGGTTTAGCATGATCCTTTCAGTATCTCCCTTCTGACGGGATGCTAATGTTTGGATGTGAATCATGTGTAATAAAAATGTGCAAGTTCGGAATTCGTTATGTTTCCCCAAAATGTAGTATATACATTCTTCAGAAATTTCTATTTCTTTACCTACTTTTCCTATCAGTTTAAAACACGATGACATGGATGCTACTGGAGTACCCAAATTCCTTAGTTCTTCTGTATTTAGTGATATTGTAACCATTGATGTACTTATAAACTTCAAACGATTGGGTCTAGGCAAAAACAGTGTGAAAATTTGCCAGAGGTGTAAGTTTACTGGGAAACTGAAATATGAATTGATGGAAATCATATGTCCGTAACATAATAAAGTTTCATGATGTAACAACTCTAATTCAAATACAACTATCATTTTCATTTTTATGTTTGTGGCTAAAAAATAGAAGTGGTTTTGTGGTAATCTCTCACTAGCTTTTACACATTGTAGTATTTTAAATCGTTGTTCATCATCTTGCACCAGGACCCCGAGTACTATGTTCTTAAGGAGGATACATCCCCTTGCATTTTCGGCCCAATTGATAAGCAGAGGTGGTCATATGCCTGTGCCAAGCAGTTAATTGAGAGATTGGTTTACGGTGAGTTTGTAATCTTGCATTTGTGCTTCATATATTGTTTTTACGATTCAGTCCTAGTCAGTGTCTAAACTTGAACTACGCGTTTTCGTATATGTCTTGTTTTACAGCTGAGGGTGCTGAGAATGGTCTTGAGTTCACAATTGTGAGGCCCTTCAACTGGATTGGTCCCAGAATGGATTTCATCCCCGGAATTGATGGTCCAAGCGAAGGTGTTCCAAGAGTTCTTGCTTGCTTTAGCAATGTAAGTCCATTTCAATTTCAGTGCACATATATTATTTTGAGCTTCTCTTATGTTTGAATTTGATCCTCTGTACAGAATCTCTTAAGGGGTGAACCACTGAAGCTTGTTGATGGTGGCGAATCACAGAGAACTTTCGTTTATATCAAGGATGCCATTGAAGCTGTTCTTCTGATGATTGTATGTTCGATATTTTTGTTTCATATTTCTGTTTGATATTATATGATTTGAATATGTAGCTGAGTGGGTGGTGTGATTTGACTCAGGAAAATCCTGCCAGGGCTAATGGTCATATATTTAACGTGGGCAACCCCGATAATGAAGTTACAGTCAGGCAGCTCGCCGAAATGATGACTAAGGTGATTCGTGTGTTTTGTAATTGTCTTGGAAAGTCTACTCTAGAATTCTACGTTTGTCAACTAAATTTCCTGAAATACCCCTCTTGTATGATTTCAGGTGTACTCAAAGGTTAGCGGAGAACCTTCACTAGATTCACCTACCATTGATGTGAGCTCGAAAGAATTTTACGGAGAAGGGTACGATGATAGTGACAAGAGAATTCCAGACATGACCATAATCAACAGACAACTTGGTAAAGGACCGTTCTTGTGGTAGACCTGTTATTATTTGTGAGATTTATTTAATATTTAATTTTTTCTAATATAATTTATTTCAATTGTAAAAAATATTAGGATGGAACCCTAAGACGTCGCTTTGGGACTTGCTGGAGTCGACTCTTACTTACCAACACAGGACGTATGCTGAAGCAGTGAAGAAGGCTACTTCACAAGCTGCAGCGAATTAAGGAAAAAAAAAGAACGATGTTTGGTTTTGATTCATTTTCAAGGATTTTTTATTTCCATATATGATACGGTTCCTTACTCCGATACGCCGCGCACACGTGATTCTTTTGTCTCTTTGAGTGTCTCTATCTTAGTCTCGTACACAGCTCACTACTGTAATGATTCTCCTCCTCGTGTATGTCTGTCTAATATCTTTGGAAAGTCGTTATTAGGCAGTCTATTACTACTAGTACTACATTATATTTTTGTTGTGATGTGCTGCTGCTTAAAACAATATTCTGGATATCGTACGAGGATAAAGAAAGTAGTATTTGCTCGTTCGAGGTTTCTGTTTTTAGTGATATGAGATCTGTTCTTAGCTTTTGCTTACAAGAGCATGTTGTATCATCTTGTTCAAACAATATTAGTAGTTGAATTTTATTTTTTAAATAATTAGTTAATTGTTTATTGTCTTTCGTTTTTGCAATGCTGGAAGTGTCGAGCTTTCGTTGATTATATCTAGTGGAATAATTAAAATGCCTTTATAACAAAAAATACATATCCGCTCAACTGGAGAAACCAGTTAATAATAGAAAAGAAAGATCATTTATATACATTGCAAAGTACTAATTCCATAGAAATTGAAGAAAAAGCGAAGGAAAAAACGAAAAATACTCCATGTTACCTAATTCTGTTGATAAAATCCTCGGTTGTTCAAAAAAGAAGTGAACATATTATTGAACACCACTCAATTTAGCCCAATCGACAAACTGCATTCCACCATAAATATTATTGGCAAAACGTACTCCGACCGTGAAAGCCATGGCGACAGGTGGCATTTGCCTAGCCACGGGCGAGGCTTCAACAAGACGTTCCAATCCGTTTATAACTTGGTAACGGGTGTTTGAAGAGACCGCAAGAAAAACACCTGAAAAAGGTTAAATATAAGTATCGACGTGATTAATTAAATTATATCATAATTAGGTCTTTCATGTTTGGTTAGTGCAATAACTTTTCGGGTTGACCTGTAAATATTCGAAAATGAGCTCCTATCTTACCTTACTGGGGGTTTGTGTATTGAACCAATCATAAGATTGCACAATCTTATATTTACCAATATTATCTTGGGAACCAAACAAGGCCTAAGTTAACTATTGCCTGCTTCAAGTGAAGGATGCTTTGGCATATAAAAATTAATACTGGCATGGCAGAATCATACCAACAGTTAACCTAAAACTAAACTATATGAATATGGGAAGGTCTTCATAGCAAAATCTTGTTGCAACTATTTTTCAGTGGTTATATTATATCATCTATATTCCCCATTCTCATTTGCCTTGGTAGATGTTGCAGCTGCGGAAGCTTCAATAATATGTAACTAGCCGAATCTAAAAGCAACGTAGCTTAGTAATATTCTATTAAAAGAAATTAACGTACCCCATAGGGCAGCGCTTTTCACTAAGGGGGGCACAGGTATGTCCTCTTCCGACTTCTTGATGCTCCTGTCATGTAGAAAGATAAGTGAATACGCGACCACAACAAATGAAAGTAGTATTAATTAGATAACGAATTCACCACAAAATATTTTAAACATTTTGATTACTTGAATTACCAATTCTTGAAAGATTTAACATCATATAAGTTATAACATTTAGTTTAATATAATTTAAAGGAAAAAAAGGATGCACCTTTTAGCAGTCATGATCATATTTGCGATGCCTTGGCCAACAAGACCACAACCAAAACCGACTGAGCCATATAATACACCCTACACGTGAAAATAACACAACAGTTGCGTAGCTTAGTTCATATGATAAGAGGTCACGGGAGAGTATACAAAGACCTTTCTTGTTTTGTCTAAACTCTTGATCGTAAAGTCAGTATGAAGGTCATTGAGAAGTGGTACCTTGTAGAAGTATGTAGCAATTCGTTGCTGCGCTGAAAATCTGATTCCTGGACTCTCAGCTTCGAAAACACTGAATTACAAAAGATTTACAGTTGAAATAAGTGAAAACACTTGATTGCAATACCAATAAAGATGCAGCAGTTCTACAGTTCAGTTTGGCCTCTTTTGACGAATAAACTACTTCAAATGAAGCTTCGAATTGTGTAAGTTTTTTTCAGCCAGATGGTAGCCACAGTTTGTTCAAAGATTTTAACAAAAGAAATCCCTAGAGAAAATATTTAATGTCGTCATGTTGACCTTTTACGTATTTAGGTTTTATAGCCACTAATTTCTTGAATGTATGCATGAGCAGAAAGGTAAATAAACATCAGAACGGAAACCATTAGTCATTTATTTCTCAGAAAAGAGACACCTATTCATTTCTTAAATCCCCAAATCAATCCACGATTCTTTTCAAAATCTCATTCATATTAGCAAGAAGGTACCATTGTACCACAGGATCAGGATCAGATCAATTTTAATTTTTACCAGATGTAGAAGTAACTGGAGATCAATGAATCGAACAAAGTCAAGTTAGAAATCCCTTGACTAAGTTCTACTCCTGAGTAATACCTCTTCCACCCTTTACATAGTTTTTGATAAAAGAGTACATTGATATGCGCTCAAACTATAATCCACTGCTTTAAAAAGAGCTGAAGATTGTAGCACTATCCATAAGTCATAAGAATTAGGCATAAAAGAATAAAAACTCACCTGCTGGGAAGAGATGCACAAGCATGTTTTAGGCGTCCAAGATAGCCACTAGATACAATGGATTGCTTGCCTATACGAGCATAAGGTGCCAACATACCGACCAAAGCTATGTCAACAACGATACCAACTAACAAATCCGCTGCATACAACTCAAACTCCGCCCAGAAATCCTTTCCTCTTTTCCTAACTTCCGCAAATGTTGCACAACAAGAATCGATCACAACCTACAACACAATCAAATAGTTGTAATAATTATACAAGCATTCAACCTTACAATTATGTCACCAAAAATGCCGACAAATTGGTTTATATAGTAAAAGTATCCGTTATGCTGTCATAAACTTCACGAATTTGCAATTTGCAAATAAATAGACTCAAGCTTACCTCAATTCCAACTTTAAACAAAAACGCGGGATCGGCCAACATTCGGTTCCGAAGCATTGAGCAATATTTCATTAGAAACCCTAAAGGCCAAGCTGAACCCTGTAACACGAACAAACAAAACATATTTTCCCAATTTGCTATTTCTATTGTTCTAAAATTGAAGCCAAAAATAATTTCAGTATCTTCAAATTTCAATTGTGAAATATCATGCATGCACTCCCACCTGCAAATCCAAGTATCGAGTAAGGATCAATCTGCGAAGCCCGGTTGATTTCGCCGCCTCGAGCATATCAGCAGGCAGAACCGCGCCTCGGCTTTCCGCCTCAATCAAAACCTCAGCATACTTCATTATCGGTCCAAACTCGTTTTCACCGCCGTCTCCATTATCTCCATCCCCACCACCACCGCCTCCGCCGCCGCCGCCAGGAGTAAATCGCCCACCCACGCCATCTCCGCCGCCGCCATTGTCGTCGACTTTAGGTTCCTCGGGTTTTTCAGGCAAATGAATCGTTTCCACCGCCACGGTGTCAGCGCACTTTATCCGTATCGACTTTCCGCCGCCGATCCTAACCGACGGCTGATTCAGAGGCGCAAACTTCGCGAAAATGTTGAATTCCACGGCGGCGCTTCTGCCTGCAGGCGGCTGGTGGAGTGTATTGCGGAGCTTCATGGTCGTGAATCCGCCGCCCGGAGAACAAACCAACGACATCGTTTTCGATCGCAGATTGCACAAACGGAAATGCTCCGGCGCAAAAATCGAAGAGAAATCGGATTCGTCGGCTGGCTGCGCGCAGTGCGACTGTGCGCAGTAGTTATAATGTGGGGTACAACCCGCCTGCAGTGGATGCTTGTACTCTTGACCAATTTAATATTTTAAATTTATTTGTTGGGCCCAACTTTTTTGGACTAAATCTCACGTGGGCCGTGATGCAGGTTCGGGTGACGTTAGATTATTACAACATGGGACAAATCTTGTGTCACAAAAAATTGACCGAAGGTTCTCGTGTAATAGCTTGCAAAGCTTAATCACCAGGTTATTCCTTTCGAGACAATATTCAATTTTTTTTAAATTTTATTTTACATTGTTCAAAAGTTTAATCCATTAATAATAGGCACATTGCACCATCGAAATAAAGTAATAACATTTTACACGCTTAAAACAAAACAAATTATGCACAATACACCGCATATGATTTTTGTAAACTAATGAAAAAAATTTAATCTCGAAAATTTAAAGTGCAAAAAAAAGATAAAAACCATATGAGCAACATTTAAAAAAAAAAAAATCGGATGAGAACCGGCCGAGATTGATTATCCCGCACCAACTTTCACCTCTATATTTTCCCACCAATACACTCTTATAAAATATTTATATTGAAAAATAAACAGATAAAACAAATAAAAAAGTAACTGATGGGCCCAACTCCATAATTATGAGCTTAAACCCGAACAAGTCCAAAAAAACAATAAAGGCCCGAATCTGTCAGATTTAAGCCCGTGAAGCGGCCCATTCGACGAATCAACTTTAACATAAGCCCAAGCCCATAATTTTATTTTTTTATATATATATTTTTAATTTATATATATATATATATATATATTTTTTTTTTTAATTTATATGACTTTTGGTAAGTTTTGCTTTGAAAAGGTCAGCTTTGGGTTCTGATAATTGGAAAACTTTTATCGGCCAAAGATTTTTCAGGTATGATGGTCTTAAAAAACAAACATCATTTTCTAATTATTTAAATATTTGAAATTCGTTTCGATAAAAAATGATGGGTGAATGAACGTTTGAGAATTTTTAACTGATAAAATAGCGGGGATAATTTTGTAAAAAGACACCTTTGATAGCGTGAGTTTGACAACAATTATCCACACGGAAAAGACTCAGCCTGTCCACAATCGAATATCGTGCACATTCGTGTGTATTGAATGCACTACACTGCTAGTGTTTGCGCCTTTTCTAACACTAATTGATTTTATGATAAAGTGGCGCCTAAGATCTTACAAACTAAAAGATTCTAATCAAAATAAAGTCGGGTGATCAGGTCGGGTAGATAAATTGGTCGATAATTACCCAACCCAACTCATGTTCAAGCCTTGTAATTAGTACTAGCGGGCTTGGTGGGACGAAAACATTGAGTGTGAGGGGGTAAAAGGTAATTATTAAAAGTAACTTTTAGGGACTTAAAGTGGAATAACTTTTTGCAACTATGTAGACTTTTTTCTGCACATTTTTTCCTCAGCATTACCAAATGTTATATGTGTTTGAATAGTTTGTTATTTACTTATATATAAAAAAATTAATAAAGAAAAGAAATATTTAAATAAAAGCTCAGCAAATACATTTTCTTTATTCATAAATGCTGAACAAATAGATTTGAAACAATTAATAAAAAAAATAAAAAAGAAATATGAAAAGCAAAATATATCGATATAAAAGTCGTCTCCCTCCACTGTGCGACGGCTTTCTCAATTTCTCTCTCTAGATCGCACCTCAAAACACAGTCTCTCTCTGCATTGCTGGACAGATAAATTATCATTCAAGAGCAGGTGAATTTATATATATTTTTTCTCCGGATTATCGTTTCTGTTGAGATCTGTGAGTTGGTGGCCGTTGGATCTGGAGAATTGCTGGATCTGAGGGCGTTCGTTCGGCCATGGCGCTGTCGGGGATGAGAGGATTGTCGGTGTTCATTAGCGATGTTCGGAATTGCCAGAATAAGGAGCAGGAGCGTCTTCGTGTTGATAAGGAGCTCGGCAATATTCGTACTCGCTTCAAGAATGAAAAGGCAAGTGTTTGCATTTGTTGAATTAGATGTTTTTGTGCCCTATTCAGCTGTCAATGTGTTGAGTGTTTCGGTAATTTCTCGATTTTATTATTGTAAGATGAAATTAGGGATTTTGTAAATTGATACAAGCTGGAATTGAGGGTTTGCGAACACATTTTGGGGAAATTGTTTTTTGGTTGATTTTGAATGAACTGAATGGGAGTGTCTTAGTTGTGCTGTTGGGTTAAAGGAAGTTGTGTTTTAGGGTTTTTAGAATGCGGATTACCGCTTTCAGGGAAGGATTGCTTGTAGGTGAATTGATTTCGGGTTCATTTGGTTATTTTGAAAAAAAAGCTCGATGCTACCGAAACCAAGCTATAATTATCGAATGACTTGCATCAGTTAGTTGGGAATTTCAATTCATGTGTATGAAAAGCCCCTTTGTCGATGAAATGTTGCTTACCTCAATAATACGCTGCCATTATAAAATATTATTGCGATCGTTCTTATATCCTTTAGTCAAGTAGGTCAATGTAGTGTTCTGCTAAGTAATGTGACAATCATTTCTAGGTAATGATTTCTAATGCCAGCGATTTAAAGAAAAAAAAGATATGCCTAGTAAATTTAGCACCCTCTTAAATAATAGAATTACTCTGACTTGATTAGTCCACAAAATGGTAGCATTATATAAACTGTTTCCTTTTCCTCCCAAAATAGGTGGCATTACTACCTGCTCATTGCAGGTTACACGTTAACATTTTGCAATAGATGTATGAATGCATGTCAACATAAGTAAAAGCAATTTAAGCAGTTGTTTAGATGCTATATAAGGTAGCTAAGATTGAACGCACTAGCATGGTTTTCTCCGGAAAAGCATGAAGGATAAATTGAAAGATCACCTGCTACATAAAAATATTGGTTGGTAATAATTAACAACGGGCAATGGGATTAGGCAATTTGGTCTTAAAAATATTTCCATTGTAGACAGTTGGTCCTGTTGGAGCTTATATAACATAAATAAAACTTCTTGTAGACTGGATGGGATGCTGAGTTCTTGTCTAATGGTTATCGGTTAGGTGAGTGTTGAACTTTCATATTGCAATGATGCCATCTCGTCCGTCCACTTTTTACATTAAAGGTAGAGGACCCTTCTGTTCTCTGCTTTTGGAGATAGTGGTTAGATTATTTCTCTATGGTCAACACTTTATATCTTCTATTATGTGTTTACATTTCATTATCCACCCATTCTTGTTCTCTAATTTTGTTATATAGTACTCTCGGACTAACAGACAATTCTTGTTGTTCCTCTATCTTGCTAATAGATGTCTTTCTTAATTTAATTTTATTACTGATGTAATTAGTCAAAATCGAACCGAAGATATGAAAAATATATTGCTGATAGTTCTCTTTGCTTACTCATGATGGCTTCCCTGGAAAAAAAATCCACAACTTATTTTCCTTTACCATATATGGTAAATAGAAGGTGAAACAGCCAAAACTTGCACGACTAAGTCCCAGAAAATTCACTTCTTAGAAAATGATGGCCTTGGTTCTTGGATACTCCAATTATCATCAGTCGATAAATATAATACATGAATCTATATGATTTTCTTTTCTTTTATGTCAAGGAGAATTATATGCAAATTCATGATCTGTGTCTTTAGTCCAACTTCATCTGTTGGAAATATAACTTAGTAAGTTTGTGATCATAAGTGATTCAAGCACTTACTTTACTTCGTGAGTTTGTTGTCACATAAAACATTATTCATCAATCTTAAATAGGAAACCAATATAAGTTTTCGTTATTCATAACAACATGGCTCCTTATTTGGATTATTTTTTTACTGGGCAGGGTTTAACACCTTATGAGAAGAAGAAATATGTCTGGAAAATGCTTTATATCTATATGCTAGGTTACGATGTTGATTTTGGTCACATGGAAGCTGTTTCTTTAATATCTGCTCCGAAGTATCCTGAAAAGCAGGTATGTTTGCACCACATTTTCTTATTTATAGTTTGAATATAGTTATCTATTCAGCATTGTATTTCTGACTTGTAATTAGTCCATATGATCAAATCTTTGCTTGGTGATATAGTTGTTCTGCACCTTTGGTTTTTTAAGTACTTCCAAATAAATTATAATTCTCTTATTTCAACAGAAAACAAATTTAGAACATGCATTTTGAAGGTAATCTCTGGGTTTTCTTTTTAAAGGATGAAATAGTAAAGGAGCTTTCAATGGTAAGTCTGGGAAAATTTGTAGACACTGAAAAGTTAAGTACTAACCTTACTATATTTAGTGATAGAATCCCAAAGAACGACATTTATTCTGGCTGGTTAATCATGTAATTGTTACAGATAAATAATTAGTGCTCTTAGACCTTTAGTCTTATCTAACATATTCATGCATCACTACGGGTCTCCTTAATGTCTGCTTGTCTTACTGTCTTATGGAGTTAGTGAGAATGATGTGGAATTATCTCTATAAGTTTTACATTTACTGTGTGGCCAATATTTTTCACATAGAATGTTATGTTAACTACACTTTCAGTTCCTTTACAGTTTAGGAAATTGTATATCACTTGTTTGTTGACTTCATATTGTCTTGATTTTTTGCAGGTTGGCTACATAGTGACATCGTGCCTTCTCAACGAGAATCATGATTTTTTGAGATTAGCAATTAATACTGTCCGCAATGACATTATTGGTCGCAACGAGACTTTTCAGTGTCTTGCTCTGACATTGGTATGATTTTGGACGTCTTATCTCCTTCAAATCCTTATGGATAATTGGTACAAACATATTGGCTTACAATAATGATTTGGATATTTGCCTCGAGTTGGAACCTCTTAAGTTTGCCATATTATCTCCATTGTGGTTTCCTTGTTACCTTCGCTTGATTCAAACTTGTCATATTTGTTCAGGTTGGAAATATTGGTGGGAGAGATTTTGCTGAATCACTGGCCCCTGATGTTCAAAAGTTACTTGTAAGTGAATATAGTTCTGAAGATACTAAGTTGAATATAGATAGATAATGATGTTGAATGTTGCTATTGCTCCAGATTTCCAGTAGTTGCAGACCGCTTGTGAGGAAGAAGGCTGCATTATGTCTCCTTCGTCTCTATAGAAAAAATCCTGATGTGGTGAATGTAGATGGCTGGTAACATGTCTGCTTACTTTCAATGTTAGTTTTATTCGATCGTTCATGATACATCTAATATTATCCCGCTTCCACCTTTTAACAGGTCGGATCGGATGGCACAATTGTTAGATGAACGTGATATGGGCGTCTTGACTTCTTGTATGAGCCTTCTAGTTGCTTTAGTGTCCAACAACCATGACGCATACTGGAGTTGCCTTCCAAAGTGTGTTAAAACATTGGAAAGGCTTGCACGAAACCAAGATGTTCCACAAGAATACACTTACTATGGTATTCCATCTCCCTGGCTTCAGGTTTGTGCTTATCTTCATACTCCTTTAGTTTTCTTCTTCTTCTTCCTTTTTTTTTATTTTTTTATTTTTTTTATTTTTTTATTTATCTTCCTTGATTAGATCGAAATAAAATATATTAGATGCTGAACTTCTATACTCAAGCACTTGCATATATTTGCTTCTTGGTGTACTTTACGTTATCTATCCATATTCCGATTCTTTCGGTAAAACTTGTTTTGCAGGTCAAGACAATGAGGGCTCTTCAGTATTTTCCAGCAGTTGAAGATCCAAATACCAGAAGATCATTGTTCGAGGTTTGAATTTCTGTTGTCTTCTGTGGGACATCAAGAATTCTCAAATAATCTTCCTTTCAATGCTTACAACATGTGTGTATGTCTTATGCATATTTAGTCATATTTCCTTTACTTTTGATCAGGTTCTGCAGAGGATTCTTATGGGAACTGATGTTGTTAAAAATGTGAACAAGAATAATGCATCACACGCTGTTCTTTTCGAAGCTCTTGCTCTTGTAAGTTTATCTCTATCAAACTGTTCCATTCAGAATATAAAATTCTTATATTGATTAACTGTTCGTCCATTAACCAGACCATAAAAAAACATATTCAATTTGTGGTGCTATGAAGCTTCTTCTGTTTGTAAATTGTCATTGTGTTCTATTTCTAAATGTATTTCACGATTTGCAATTAATACTTGTATTTCTCTGAGTGCAGGTCATGCATCTTGACGCCGAAAAAGAAATGATGTCCCAGTGTGTTGCGTTGCTTGGTAAATTTATTGCTGTTCGTGAACCTAATATACGATACCTTGGTCTGGTAAGTCATTAGTTCATTGTGAAATTTAAATTATTTTGAACCTCTTTTGTCTCTTGTTTTCAAAACATTTTGTCCTTCCTCTGCACCTGGATTTTCAACATTATGTGAGCTGTTTGTTCAGTCCTCAAAACTTTGTTGCTAGTTTCTCATTGCAAATATCTCTATTGTTCTGATGCAGGAGAACATGACTCGGATGTTGATGGTCACAGACGTACAGGATATTATTAAAAGGCATCAAGCTCAGATCATTACTTCCCTGAAGGATCCTGATATCAGGTTGACTGTAACTATTGAATGCTCTTTTAATCATGTAATACAGGTTTTGGGTCTAAAAGTTTAATTTCAGGATAATATTGAACTATTTTTTTTTTTCTGAAGATAAATGATATCAACAGTACAAAAAAGCACGTCTTTGATTTAATATACCTTAAATTTATGTCATGATTTTATGTGTCAACAGTATCAGAAGACGTGCCCTTGATTTGCTATATGGCATGTGTGATGTTTCAAATGCAAAGGACATAGTTGAAGAATTATTACAGGTGAACACCAACTCATGAACTTGTCTAACTCGACTTGAGAATTTTTATTGGTTGCTCTTGTAGACAAAGAAAGTACTGTTTTGACTGTTATCTGATTTCAGTATCTCAGCTCAGCCGACTTTGCAATGCGAGAAGAATTATCACTCAAAGCTGCTATTCTTGCAGAGAAGTTCGCGCCTGACTTGTCATGGTAAGATTCATACACCAAAGAACATTTGTTTGTACTATTTTGACTTTGCAATCAAGTCACATTTGAAATGCTACTAGTGCAGTTCATGAACTACCAAAAAGTACACGAAAGTCTTGTTGAACTATTATACATATTAAGATGCTAGTATGATGTATTTTATTCGCAATGCGGTGTCACTCCGCCTTGCTTAACTAATATTAATTTTGTACTGAGTATGATTTCATTTGGATTTCATTTTTCCCATCTGATTTATGTATACTTGGGATTGTTTTATGTGCTTTTGCATTCCCAGCGAAAGGAAACATGGCTCTTTATACTCGTGTTCATTATAGCTTTGAGATAGATGCATCAGAATTCAGAGCCGTTATACATGAAAATGTAAATTAAGAATAGATGCTTGACAAATTTTAAAGGCAACATAAACCTGATGAAAGTTTTCATGATTTAATTTGGTTTCATGAAAACTTTTGCTGGGAGTTCTTCCATTAGATTCGATTAAAAGCTGATTTTGGTCGTTTTTCCATATGCATAACTTTGATGATGTACTTATAAGACTTTATCTACAAAGCTTCATTCATAACATGTTTACATATGGATATTATCACTTGATAGTCTGTATTGTGCTTCAAATAAGATAATACATATCTAACAAAATCTCATTAGGAGAGTCGGCTCCTGGCCTTGCCTATAGAGGTAACGTCAGGGGTTCGAACTCTACTCTCCTGCTTTTACCTTGTACCAGAATTTGAATTTAGTAGAAAAAGAGAGATTAAATATCCATCCTATCTCCTCTTTGGTGCAGGTATGTGGATGTGATTCTTCAGTTGATTGACAAGGCAGGGGATTTTGTCAGTGATGACATTTGGTTTCGTGTGGTGCAATTTGTTACAAACAACGAGGATTTACAGGTATCTGAAGCAACCTGCCAATTCATAATTGCTACACGGGCTTCTATAGTCTATTAAATGACTTGTGTCTGAATTCACTCCTATACATGTCAGCCTTATGCAGCTCTGAAAGCCAGAGAGTATCTTGATAAGCCAGCTATTCACGAGACCATGGTGAAGGTGTGTAATATTACACAATTTGACTCGTATGATTAGTGAGCTCTAGCTGTTCTGGACTATTTTGTGCAAAATAATGTCATGTTAGTGTTGGAATTTGTATTTCATTTGCATGAAGAACGATAAATAAGAGTAATCTTGTTCACGGCTAGTTCTTATGCATCTTATATCTGCCATAAATCATGCGGTTAAATTTATTGATTGAGTAAAGAAGCTTAATAAATCTTTAGACATTTTCTTTTTCCTTGTATTATGGTGTACTTCTTGATGCATTGTATTCATGAAGTTGTGGAAGTAGTCTCCATTGCATCAATTTTAGTTGTAATACTTTATTAAGTGATTTGATGAAATAGGTGAGTGCATATATCCTTGGAGAATATAGTCATCTTCTAGCTAGACGGCCTGGGTGCAGTCCAAAGGAAATTTTCATTGTCATACACGAAAAGCTTCCCACCGTTTCGTAAGTGCATATTCTTATATATTAATTTTTCAGCATTTTCTGTTCATCTTCATCTATCTAAAGAAATCGAATTTGACCAGGACTTCAACAATTCCTATCCTTCTTTCTACTTATGCAAAGATTTTGATGCACACTCAACCACCTGACCAGGACTTGCAAAGGCAAATCTGGGCGATATTCAGCAAGTAATTTATATTTACATAGTCTGTTTGTAATTGAAAATTATCTTCTGGTTGTCAATTACTTAGCAAATTGTATATTCCAGGTATGAAAGTTGTATTGATGCTGAAATACAGCAACGTGCTGTTGAATATCATGCTTTGAGTATGAAAGGTGCAGCTCTAATGGATATACTTGCTGAAATGCCGAAATTCCCTGAGAGACAGGTCAGTATTCGGGATTTGCAATGTCGTCTAGAACTAGTTCATCTTTTATCATGACATGGACTTGGCTGAAGCATCTTCACTTAATTCGAAATTAACTTCCATAGTTTACTATGAAATATGAATCTGACTCTAACAAGTCTTTGGTTCCAGTCTTTGTTGATAAAAAAAGCTGAAGATTCCGAGGCTGATACTGCTGAGCAAAGTGCAATCAAATTGCGGACACAGCAGCAGACTTCTAATGCTTTGGTATTGACCGATCAACGCCCTGCAAATGGTACACCACAGGTGAACCAGCTTGGTCTTGTGAAGGTGCCTACCATGAGTAATGCGGTGAGATGTCCTTCCATAGATTATTGACCAGACCATGTCACTGATTGTAAGAATCTTATGTTTTAAATCATTCTGGAGTATAAACCAACAATCATATATGTAGCAGGATCCAAGCACTGCTGAACAAGGGTTAACACATGCAAATGGAGCTTTGACTATAGTCGATCCTCAACCTCCTAGCACAACTTCTCCTGATCTCCTTGGAGATCTTTTAGGGACACTGGCTATTGAAGGCCCACCAGGACCAGTTACTGCTCCACAATCTGATCCTAGGGTGGCTTCTGGTCTGGAGGGTGGTGTAGATGCATTAGCCATTGCAACTGTCGAAGATCAGACTAATGCTGTCCAGGTATCCGTTTCTATCTTATTCGAGATAGGACAATCTTTCTTACACTTGACAGAATTAAAACCAAAATGAAGAGTTCCATCCTTCAAACTGTTACATGACAAATAATTTTTTTCTTAATCTGTTTTATGGCGTTCTTGCAAACTTTGGTTCATTGTAGACATGGAATGTTGATGGAGTTTTCTAGTTTCTTCCTGTTTTCTTGTTTTTAAATCTTGTCAGTAAAAAAAACAATGTTCCATGTCTCAGTTTACTGATACACCAGTTAATTTAGAAAATTTGTGTAAATTTTAGTGCCAAACTTAGTCCATAAATGTTTTAATAGCTCAAGGGACTTTTACCTTTGAAGTACCGTCTGAAACTCCGTAGTTTCAAAAGTTTTGCAGGGCACTCCAAAAACTTCTCTTTGGTAATTAATGCTGATAAAATATCAAGAGGCATTTGCCTGTTTGTGCATGTATTAGGGCTTGCATATGTTTTGTGGGCTGCCGTCCCTATAACTCTTTGTTTATCAAAGACGACCAGGATACATCAGCTTGTTGAGTGTAGGAATTGAGGTGTGTTCTTAGGTAATATTTACAAATGGCAATGTGGGATACTTTGAATGCCTTGGACTATATGTTTTTTGTTTCAAAAGTTTTAAATGTTTTGAGGCGTTAAATGATTTTTCTGGAGTATCATGTATGTAGAGTATCATACAAAGTTATCAGATAGAAAAGAGGTGATGCAGCCAAATTTCTCTGTTACCTACATCTTGCTTATGTTTCTGCTTATGACTTCTTAGTCCATCTTTGATGCTTGCAGCCGATCGGTGATATTGCGGAAAGATTTCATGCTCTATGCTTGAAGGATAGTGGTGTCTTATACGAGGATCCCCATATTCAGGTCCAGTCTTATTATGTTTCGGTTCAGTTATCATGCAACATGTTCGCCTTTTTGATACACTATTTAGTTCTATGGGATTAAACTGATTGTACCTGTTAATTGCAAACTGTTAATACGATTACAGATTGGCATAAAAGCTGACTGGCGAGCTCATCAGGGTCGAGTTGTTCTTTTCTTGGGAAATAAAAATCTTGGTGCTCTCAGTTCAGTTCAAGCTTTGATATTGTCCCCATCACATCTGAAGATAGAACTCTCATTAGTACCTGATATTATTCCTCCAAGGGCACAGGTCAGATTACTAGCTATTTTTATTTACTTTTTGTAAAATGATTTTTGCCCTGTATTAGTATAATGATTAATGAGAAAAATGCTATTTTTTTCTGCTTAGGTTCAATGTCCGCTTGAAATAATCAACCTTCACCCGAGCAGGGATTCAGCCGTGCTGGACTTTTCGTACAATTTTGGAACACAATTGGTACTGCTTTAGAACTATGAATTGAAACCAAGGATAAATTTGTGGGTGTAGAGAGATGAAGAGAGAGAGTTGTTAATTTTCTGCAAAGCTAATATATATTGCATGAGCAGGTCAATGTAAAGCTTCGACTTCCTGCTGTCTTAAACAAGTTTCTTCAGCCAATTCCGATTTCTGCAGAAGAATTTTTCCCACAATGGAGATCACTCTCTGGTCCCCCATTGAAGCTGCAAGAAGTGGTATGTGCCTTTCAGAACTTGTTTACCTTTCTAATCCAGAGGAATTAAAAGTAACGTTTTTTACCATAAACTTACCAGGTTAGAGGTGTAAGACCAATGCTCCTTGCAGAAATGGCTAACTTATTTAACAGTCTGAACCTGATGGTTTGCCCTGGGCTTGTAAGTGCTTAATCCTGACGATTTTCGATTAACCCCAGATGGCGGTATTATTATATCTGCTTCTGTATAATAGCCTGAAAAGTTACTTTCTTTTTCTTGTTTTTTCTTTTTTATTTTCCCATTCAGGATCCCAATGCAAATAATTTGGTCGTGAGCACAACTTTCTACTCTGAAAACACACGGGCCATGTTATGTTTGGTATGCTTGTATTTCAGTTATTCATGTTTATTTGGTTGAAGTTTACTTGGGTTATACGAGTATAAATGACATGCTCGATAGAAGTTTTCCCTTATAATAAGATGCTAAGCTGACGAACCAGAAAGTTGAATCATGTATTGATTGAATTTTGCTTATAATTTATAGATAAGAATAGAAACCGATCCAGCTGATAGAACACAGTTGCGGATGACGATTGCATCTGGAGATCCAACACTCACATTTGAGTATGTACATTTATTCGAGTTCAATTGCATCTAATTCTCCCCTTGATATATATATATATATATATATATATATATATATATATATATATATATATTAATAAATATGATAATGATATTCTTGTGGGCGCTTACAGATTGAAGGAGTTTGTTAAAGAACAATTAATCAGCATTCCGATTACTTCTCGGGTAGCTACACCACCTATGGCGCCTCAAGGGCAGCCACTTAGTCCACCCACAGCACTACTATCATCAGATCCTGGAGCTATGCTTGCTGGTTTGCTTTGAAGTGGGGTATTATTAAAACAACTTTTTTCATCGATAAAAAACTTTGTTTAAGAATGTTCATAAAGCAGAGCTGCCCGACTATCCCGGTTTGTCAGTAATGAATACGAAGCAAGGGCTGGCGGGAGTAAAAAGGGCCAAACGTGTATTTAATCGGCTTAGCATTAGAGTTTGAATACTTGGGAGGTTGGTTATCAATTTTTGATATTATTCTTTCTAGCACAATTTGTTGCCCTGGTTCGACGTTTCTTTCTTCTTTCTGTCGAAGGGTTTATTATTGTGATATTTTTCTTTCTTTTGTAGTGTTGTCATTTTTATCATCTTCTAGTCAGGTTTTGGTTTCTATTGGTTTTTGTAATACGGAAAAACTGCACGAAAGTTGCACCCTTTGTAACTAGTACATTTGTTTGTCAGTGGATGTGTAATTTTACTAGCAATATTGGTTGCCCTTTGTAACTATTATTCTATTTTATAGTTTAAATATTTTGTATGAACAAATTTCAGCCCAGGCCCGTCTGGTCGCAGCCCATCCAGCCCAGCAATATAATCCATGGGCTGGGACGGCACATGGCCCGTTATGGGCTCGTGGGCCTCCCGCAAGGCCTGGCTCGCAATTGGCCCAAATAGAGCCGCTTTGCTATTATAATTATATGATTTTTCGTTTTGCCTTGGGCCCATCAAAATACGGACACCTCCTGAGGTAAGATCAAATTACGAAAAAACATCTCTTGTTTGGGTAATTACAAACACCTCCCTCAACTATGTATTGTCTTACCATAACAGTAAATAAACATCAAAGGGAAGAGTCTTGCCAAAGTTAGAACCAAGAAAAAGCAGAACCATTCATCAAAATCAGCCTAAGGCCCCAAAATAACCAGCCAAAGAGTTTTCGGCCTTGAGATCTGTTTACAAAACCACAGGAATGAGGGCAATTTATCTATTATTGCAGATTGCAGTCAAAAAATTGTATAGAGTACAATGACATTAAAAAAGCACACAACTATGCTACTGTCAAAATCGTTTCTCACGATAAAAATAAATATTTCAATTCACCCTATTGATCGAGAAGAAATCAGTAGTTGTGGGGAGTATTTGAACTATGGATAAAACATTGTATTTACACTAATTTTACAGAGACTCCGGACTCGTATGCTGCACTAAACTACACAATCATTGATCAGTTGTTGCTCTATCATTTGACCTCCGATTAAACTTTGATGAACTCACTCACTCAGCAGCCAGAGTTCTAAATACCGATTTCAAGATTATCTGCTAAAAGCAAAGTCGAACGGTTTCATCTTCTTTGCCTAAGTGCAGACGATGACAACACCTTCCCAAATAGGCCTTACACTTGACATAAAAGAATATGCACAGACAATATATGTATAGAGCAGAGTGAAGAACAAAAACCGCACCTCTTTTTCAAAGTCCGTCTTTCATGCTCAGCTTTATGTTTTGAACTTCAATGGATAATCGTTGTTTATGGTCTTCTATATCCTTCAAAAGTGAGAGGAGGTTCGTGCGGTACACTTCACATTTGCGATTCGCAGACTCCAGATCCATCGAAAGTTCGTTGATCTTTTGATCCATGTCGGCCTACAAAAAAATATTTGATGCAATTTTTTAGCCCGATTCAAAGTACAGACTACAATGAAAATGCTTCAAGATTAATTTTGTTTCTCCAAAATGTAATTAAATCAAAATATACTTTTTTAGTCGAAACACTGAAGTGTATCAATCTAACAAGGCAAGCGAAAGATAGAAATGAAAAAGCGACTCAGCAATTAATAAACGGACTGATTAGAAATTTTCTAAACATTTTTTTCTGTTTCTGTAGGCACAAGCAAAACCATCTTTGCATCCCACAAATAATATATGTTTATTGTGGAAAATTTAAAGGAGCCACATGACAAAAACGAAAACACCAAAAAACAGCTGATTTCTCAAGAAACTCGAAAACAACTTATTAAATTGCGCAAACTAGAAATCCCTGCTATACAACTAGCTCAAAGAACAACTCGCTACTCCGTCCACTAAATCAAAAAAGTCAACGATGTTTGTTATGAATTTATATAGTTTGCCAAAATTTTGAGCAATCTCTCAATTATATCATTAAAAAGTAAAAAACACCCGAAACCTCACAAAGTATAAGTTAGAGAAATAACAAACCTCAGATAGTTGCTGAGTTGAGCTGCCTTCACCTTCGCTCCTACAATAACTCGACTTATTCCTCATAGGACCATTATTCACAGAAGCTTTCCCCTCATTCTTTACAACACAAGCAACTTTATTCGAAGCCTCCATCAAAACCGCCATAGCCACATTGTACGATTCAACAGACTCAGCTCCTTCATCCACAAATTTGAAAGCCTCGTGCCTGAGGGTATTGTACCGAACGGTATGAGACTCCAAATAACCGTTGAACGGATCTACAGCCCGTTCTTCCAATACAACGCTACTTTTCGCATTTCTCGTCCATCTTTTCGATATATAATAAGACGGAAGTGTAAGAACATTTGTCACCCTAAAAACGGCCAACACGTGTCTGCAAAGAAGCCCCGAAAACTCGAACATTCTACAGCTGCAACTAGCTCTCATCTCAAGATACATTGTTACTCATATGGTAAAATTTATGCTCTTCACCAAATTTCGCCACTCGATAAGTGGTGACTTCTCCATTGTCATCCACTTTGGATGCTGTAAAAGTGAGTGTGCTGACCAATTCTTCTTGAAATCTCGTAAACAGCTTTCTCGTGTAGAACTCCGATGCTTGTTTCTCCATTGGAGAAGGCGTTTTCAGAACCGGAGAAGTGTTCATCGTGTCGAAATCGGCTTTCACTTCCTTCTCGTGGCGGCTCTCCAAAGCCTTCTCGTACAGCTTGAAGAACTGATTCAGGTTCGTGGAGGCATTCACATATCCGTCAAAGTATGAATTCATATACGTGACAGACATTTCGGCAAAGAACGTGTCACGGAGATACACGGGGACCCACTGCCTTCTATCCGCATAGATAGACTGGAGCCAACTGTGATCCACTAGTTCGTACTTATCGAGAAGCAAATGCCAGCTGGATTCGAATTCCTCTGCGCTCTCGGACAAGTTCACACACTTCTGAAAGGCTGCTTCGAACTGAGGGTGCTGTAATAAAACATGTGACAGTTTCTCCTGGCACTGTTTGAACATGTGCCATTTGCAGAAACGGTGGCGAGTATTTGGGAGAACCTGCATTATAGCCGAGCGGATGACACTATCGTGTTCGGTGGTGATTGATAATGGAGAACGGCCAAACATAGCAGACAGCCAAGTTTTGAATAGCCAGACGAATGATGCTTCCGATTCGTTGATTAGGAAAGCACAGCCGAAGAGCACAGGTTGTCCATGATGGTTCAATCCAGTAAATGGCACAAAGGGCAATCTATACCTATTCGATCTGTAAGTAGTGTCGAATGTGACTGTATCTCCAAAATGGTTATAATCGGATCTTGATTTCGGATCGGCCCAGAAAACATTACCCGTGTACTGATCTTCATCACCTTGGATAGCATAGAAGAACGAAGGATTTTCGGATTGCTTCTGCTTTAGATAGTCTAATAGAAGCTGAATATCCCCCTCCATGTTTCTTTGCCGATTGTTACGCATGTAGTTTCTGCAATCCACTTCGGTGAAGCCTACTTTGCTAATCCCACCATACTCTTTAACGAGCACGGACATGATCCTACGTGGGCCCATTCCGGCAGCCTGCAGAGTGTCGATCAAGGTTTTGGCGGGGCCTGATATTTGGCGGTGGGAGCGGAGGCAATGCACTTGGTCTGGAGGAACAAGTTCGTGATTGTGCTCTCTGACGAATCCCGAGACGACCCATTTTCCAGAATCTTG